CTAGTCGCGTACTCTGCCGCTACACCAACACGCTAGTCGCGTACACTGCCGCTGCACCAACACGCTAGTCGCGTACTCTGCCGCTACACCAACACGCTAGTCGCGTACTCTGCCGCTACACCAACACGCTAGTCGCGTACTCTGCCGCTACACCAACACGCTAGTCGCGTACTCTGCCGCTACACCAACACGCTAGTCGCGTACTCTGCCGCTACACCAACACGCTAGTCGCGTACTCTGCCGCTACACCAACACGCTAGTCGCGTACTCTGCCGCTACACCAACACGCTAGTCGCGTACTCTGCCGCTACACCAACACGCTAGTCGCGTACTCTGCCGCTACACCAACACGCTAGTCGCGTACTCTGCCGCTACACCAACACGCTAGTCGCGTACTCTGCCGCTACACCAACACCGGCCTTGTAAAAAAAAAGAAATACTCATTTGTTAATTAAAATGTACTACAAGTATGTCTGTAAATGATGATAAATCAAAACCAATATATTTTAGGCAATGCATAACAAAAGTGAAGTTAAACGAAGACCACAAAGTGTGCCAATGTTACAGTGAAAACCCTTAATTAAAATGAATGAATGCTTGACCAAACCACACACACTAGAAAGTGAAGGGACGGCGACGTTTCGGTCCGTCCTGGACCATTCTCAAGTCGATTGTGATTCTCAAGGTCACAACCGACTTGAGAATGGTCCAGGACGGACCGAAACGTCGTCGTCCCTTCACTTTCTAGTGTGTGGTCTGATCAACATATTTCAGCCACGTTATTGTGACTCATCGTCTGCGAATGAACGCTCTCCACTGGAATATATGACGCAAACAAGGCGCAATAATGAATTAAAAATATTCATCCAATCAAAATATTGGAGCCTGTTTTAGAAGACATCGGTCAGAAAGCGAAGACGTTTAGAGATTGTAAGACTGAATAACTGTCTTAAGGGGCTTTATTAAGACTTTTTTGTTAATTAACCTCGTGAGTAAAGACGGTTTCTGACACCTGTTAGCAGGCTGACAGTTTTCCCTGGAACACCATCCGCCAATCGGTTTACAACCAGGGCATCAATTCCTGCTGGGCGAAGAGAGGCGAACAGTTAAGGATTAACTAGTGCCTTGTCAATGCTCCATTTGCCAGGACTCGAACCCAGACCAAATTGCCGGCGAGACGCGGGGCGAGTGTGTAACCACTGCGCCACTATAATCTTGTCAAGACAATAACCTCAACCTTGAGATCACTAATGCAATGATGGTACTTTATACATCAATAATATTATTAGTGTGGTACTTTATACTACAGTGTGGTACTTTATACTACAGTGTGGTACTTAACAACCCCCTCCCCCCGCCCTTGGTTTGGTGTTAGACTCAACGGCTATCAACCAATGGGAGGTCATTAAGGCCAACAACAGCAGCAGCTTAATACTGACCAACCAACAAGTATACTCCTGAACATAGTCCAGAACTAACGTAAACTGAGTATATATAGACCGTGAAGCGGTTTACACCTCAACGATGGGGAGGGGGTTGAAGAGGGGGGTTGAGGAGGGGATTGAGGAGGGGGGTTTAGGAGGAGGGGTTGAGTAGGGGGGATTAAGGAAGGGGGGTTGAAGAAGGGGGTTGAGGAGGGGAGGTTATATCACACTTGAGACTTCCTCGCCTCTTCCCAATACCCCATAAAGTCAATAACATCAATATAGCGTCCTGAGTGGCACGTGTAAGACCAGAGGGGCAGCAGCGATGCCTCTGCCTGTCTGCTCTCTGCCGTTCAGAAACGAAGCAGTTATATCGATGAGAGCGAGATATTCTGCCCGGTATGTAAGATGGTTTGAAAACGCGTCAATCCAAGTTATCGTGCGTAGAGCCACCCCCCCCCCCCCCTGCTGGACCGAACACAACCCCTCTCCCCCCCCCTTCCACCCTATCCAAACCCCCTCCCCCCGAATCACCCCTTCCCCCCCTCCCCATTCGCTTATCATATCAACCAATCCCTGGTGAGCGCGCATCGAACGCCCGCTGAATAGTTGATGAAAGCGCTCACCTTATTGGTTTTCACGCACCGGTTGAGATATGAAAGCGGCGACCTGATTGGCTGATATGCGACTCAGACATGGAAGGGGCTGGATCCCTCCACCAATCATGCCCCAGATAAGATAAGGATGATTGAATGACAGGGAACCGAGACGATTTGGGAGTCCCTTGAAAGTCTTCCTCCGCCAGTTAAACATTTATGGATTTCTTAGTGGTTTACAGTGTTAAAACCCGCAGGAGACGCCGCTGGAGTCTTAGAAGGATTACAGGCACATTAGTTGATTATATTTACGAGTGTTTCAGGTAGTGGAAGAGTGTTATAAACCACGGGAGACTGCTGGTGTATACCACGGGAGACTACTGGTGTATACCACGGGAGACTACTGGTGTATACCACGGGAGACTACTGGTGTATACCACGGGAGACTACTGGTGTATACCACGGGAGACTACTGGTGTATACCACGGGAGACTACTGGTGTATACCACGGGAGACTACTGGTGTATATAGAGTTTCAGTCTTCAACTGAGTGGCTCAGTGGAGGTGTTGCTTTGTCTTTATCCTGTGTGTGTGTGTGTGTGTGTGTGTGTGTGTGTGTGTGTGTGTGTGTGTGTGTGTGTGTGTGTGTGTGTGTTCACTATTAGGATCGAGATGTTAACTCTTGAACCCCACACACCCATAATATATATGTAAATATATATATATATATATATATATATATATATATATATATATATATATATATATATATATATATATATATATATATATATATATATATATATATATATATATATATATATACGAACAAGCCTGAACGGCTTGTTCGCAAAAAAAATGCCTGAAGAGTTTCCAGTTATATATATATATATATATATATATATATATATATATATATATATATATATATATATATATATAACCTATAATATATATATATAATCTAACATACACCAATATATATATATATATAAACGTATGTCGTACCTAATAGTCAAAATGTACTATTTGACCTAGTATGCAAGGCCCGATTTACCTAATAGGCAAGAGTGATTTTCGCTATTTAAAAAAAGAAGGTTTATAATTGCTTTATATTAATTAATATTGTTATATTATATCAAGAACATGAATTACTGACTTAGTTATGTTAGTTTAAGTTAGGTTAAGATAGGTTAGGTTAGGTTAGGTTAGGTTAGGTTAGGTTAGGTTAGGTTAGGTTAGGTTAAGATAGGTTAGGTTAGGTTAGGTTAGGTTAGGTTAGGTTAAGATAGGTTAGGTTAGGTTAGTTTAAGTTAGGTTAAGATAGGTTAGGTTAGGTTAGGTTAGGTTAGGTTAGGTTAAGATAGGTTAGGTTAGGTTAGGTTAGTTTAAGTTAGGTTAAGATAGGTTAGGTTAGGTTAGGTTAGGTTAGGTTAGGTTAGGTTAAGATAGGTTAGGTTAGGTTTGGTAATTTTTCCACGTTAGTTTTAGTTCAAATTGAAAACAATCTAATCATATCTAATATCATGGAAATCACGAAAATCTTTAGAACTTCATAAGAAAAAATTTAGAAAAATATATAACTTCAGGAAAACTCGGTTTATTAGGGAAACCGGGCCTTGCATAGTAGACCAAGTAGTGCGTTCTGGCTATTAGGCCAGATACAATATATCTGCAATATATATATTACATCATTAACTTTAAAATGCATGTGAACTCTGCAATGTTACACACAGAAATCACAATAGCGTGATGTATCAAATGAACAAATTCACAAGGGCCGTGTTGAGGATTCGAACCCATGTCGAACCTTATGGAATTGTTCTCTGCTATTGAGAGTACGCCAGCGTACGCCAAAACACAGCGTACGCCAAAACACAGCGTACGCCAAAACACAGCGTACGCCAAAACACAGCGTACGCCAAAACACAGCGTACGCCAAAACACAGCGTACGCCAAAACACAGCGTACGCCAAAACACAGCGTACACTAAAACACAGCGTACACCAAAACACAGCGTACACCAAAACACAGCGTACACCAAAACACAGCGTACACCAAAACACAGCGTACACCAAAACACAGCGTACGCCAAAACACAGCGTACACCAAAACACAGCGTACGCCAAAACACAGCGTACGCCAAAACACAGCATACACCAAAACACAGCGTACGCCAAAACACAGCGTACGCCAAAACACAGCGTACACCAAAACACAGCGTACGCCAAAACACAGCATACGCCAAAACACAGCATACGCCAAAACACAGCGTATGCCAAAACACAGCGTACGCCAAAACACAGCGTACGCCAAAACACAGCGCACGGCAAAACACAGCATACACCAAAACACAGCGTAAACCAAAACACAGCATACGCCAAAACACAGCATACACCAAAACACAGCGTACACCAAAACACAGCATACGCCAAAACACAGCATACACCAAAACACAGCATACACCAAAACACAGCATACACCAAAACACAGCGTACACCAAAACACAGCATACGCCAAAACACAGCGTACACCAAAACACAGCGTACACCAAAACACAGCATACGCCAAAACACAGCATACACCAAAACACAGCGTACGCCAAAACACAGCATACACCAAAACACAGCGTACGCCAAAACACAGCATACACCAAAACACAGCATACACCAAAACACAGCATACACCAAAACACAGCGTACACCAAAACACAGCGTACGCCAAAACACAGCATACACCAAAACACAGCGTACACCAAAACACAGCATACACCAAAACACACAGATAACAATGTGTTCTCTACTACAACATACGATAAAACAGATGCTTTAAATCCCAAACATTAAACCAAACATACACAGTATATATTAATATATGCAATGTTATTTATACACGTTTATTGCAAATACAATTATTGTTGTTGTCGAGGCGGCTCCCAGCCCTCAGCACACGGCTGTAATCTTATTCGTTCTACCGACAGATCACCAAACTCAAGATCGACAGCAACCCCTTCGCCAAGGGCTTCAGGGATTCCTCGCGACTCACAGATTTCGAGAGGTGAGTTGGTGGCGGAGCAGGAGGCCTGGGACACCAGGCCTGGGACACACCAGCCACACCAGCCTGGGACACACACACACTCTTGGAGGCGGGACCAAGGAGCCAAAGCTCAACCCCCGCAAGTAGGACTAGGTGAGTACACTTTAGGGGTGATTTATGCGTTAACAAGCCATGATGGACTACTCGCAAGGACTGGTTGCACTACCACTCCTCACCACAACTACCTAACCTCTCTTCCCCAACCACACCTTTTCAGTTATTACGTCTTAAGTTCTCCTGGGAAGTACGTGTGTGTGTGTGTGTGTGTGTGTGTGTGTGTGTGTGTGTGTGTGTGTGTGTGTGTGTGTGTGTGTGTGTGTGTGTGTGTGTGTGTGTGTGTGGTGGGCTAGCCTGAGTGGCTGGACCTTCAGTTAACGACAAGGGTTAGCGCTGTTTTATTGGTTCGTGTGTGTGTGTGGACATTCTGGGTGTGTCTGGGTGCTGGAGGGGGAGATGGGGCCGGGGGGGGGGGTTATGGAAGGTAAGGGGAAATGGAGAGAGTGGGGGGGGTTATGGAAGGTAAGGGGAAATGGAGAGAGTAGGGGGGGGGTGTAATGGGTGTTTTTCTTTTTTTATGGTGAGGGGGGACGAAGGTGAGGGGAAAGGATGGTGAGGAAGAAGGATCATGGAGTCCCCACCTGAAGAGAAACATAAGGAAACTGGAAAAGGATCAGAAATTTGCGAGTAGGCTCGTCCCAGCGTTACGAGGGCTGGGGTATGAAGAGCGCCTGAAGGAACTGTGCCTTACGACACTAGAAAAAAGCAGGGAGTTGGAAGATATGATAGAAACATAAAATACTCAGGGGGATTGACAAAATGGAAGTAGATGAAATGTTCATACGTAATATTACCAGAACGAAGGGGACATGGGTGGAAGCTGGAAACTCAAATGAGTCACAGAGATGTTAGGAAGTTTTCTTTTAGCGTGAGAGTAGTGAGGAAGTGGGATGAACTAATGGAGCACGTTGTGGAAGCAAACTCTATTCATAATTTTAAAACTAGATATGACAGGGAAATAGGACAGGAGTCATTGATTTAAACAACCGACGGCTAGAAAGACGGGATCCAAGAGCCAATGCTCGATCCTGTAGGCACAAATAGGTGAGTAAACACACGCTGACTCACTATAAATGATACCCATTAAATCTGTGCAAAACAGAATAACTTAATATACTGATTTGTTAACACACAGCATACACCAAGATACAGGACACGACAAAACACAGCGTATGCCAAGACACAGCATACACCAAAATACAGCATACACCAAAACACACAGAGACAACAATGTGTTATCGTACAACATACGATAAAACAGATGCTTTAAATCCCAAACATTAAACCAGACATACACAGTATATTAATATAATCAATGCCCCAGTAATGGGTCACCCCGGGAGGGCGGGCACTGTACCGGGAGGGGGAGGGGGGGGGGTGAGGTTATGGTGCTAATTGCAGCGAGCGGCTGTAACGCCTGTAATATATCACAGCATTATGGGAGACGTAAACACGCTTCAGCGTGTGTGTGGTGCCATCAAAATGGCCGTGGACAGGCAACAGCTGATCACGACTGTATTTCCACGTCATCGTTATATAGGGAGCCTTATATCACTCAAACATTCACATACATATGTTGCATAGCGCGCGCACGCACGCACGCACGCACACACACACACACACACACACACACACACACACACACACACACACACACACACACACACACACACACACACACACACACACACACACACACACACATACCATGCAAGCTGACGGAGAAGATTGTGCGAAAAAAACTAGTGGAGCATCTGGAGCGAAGGAACTTTGTAACACAGCATCAACATGGGTTCAGGGATGGCAGGTCCTGCCTCACAGGGTTACTTGAATTCTACGACCAGGCAACAAAAATAAGGCAAGAAAGAGAAGGGTGGGCAGACTGCATATTTTTGGATTGTCAGAAAGCCTTTGATACAGTGCCACACAAGAGGCTAGTGCGAAAGTTGGAGACGCAGGCTGGAGTGAAACGGAAGGTACTCCGGTGGATAGAGGAGTACCTAAGCAACAGGAGACAACGAGTCTGTGTGAGGGATGAGGTCTCAGATTGGCGAGACGTTACAAGTGGAGTCCCGCAGGGGTCAGTCCTTGGACCTATACTGTTTCTGGTATATGTAAATGATCTCCCAGAGGGTATAGATTCGTTCCTCTCAATGTTTGCCGACGATGCAAAAATTATGAGGAGGATTGAAACAGAGGATGATAGTAGGAGGCTACAAGATGACCTGGATAGACTGAGTGAATGGTCCAACAAATGGCTGTTGAAGTTCAACCCGAGTAAATGCAAAGTAATGAAACTAGGCAGTGGAAACAGGAGGCCAGACACAGGATACAGAATAGGAGATGAAGTACTTAATGAAACAGACAGAGAGAAAGATCTAGGAGTTGATATCACACCAAACCTGTCTCCTGAAGCCCACATAAAGAGAATAACGTCTGCGGCATATGCGAGGCTGGCTAACATCAGAACGACGTTCAGGAACCTGTGTAAGGAATCATTCAGAATCTTGTACACAACATATGTAAGACCAATCCTGGAGTATGCGGCCCCAGCATGGAGCCCGTACCTTGTCAAGCACAAGACGAAGCTGGAAAAAGTCCAAAGGTATGCTACTAGACTAGTCCCAGAACTAAGAGGCATGAGTTATGAGGAAAGGCTGCGGGAAATGCACCTTACGACACTGGAAGACAGAAGAGTAAGAGGAGACATGATCACAACCTACAAAATCCTCAGGGGAATCGACCGGGTAAACAAGGATGAACTATTCAACACTGGAGGGACGCGAACAAGGGGACACAGGTGGAAGCTGAGTACCCAAATGAGCCACAGAGACATTAGAAAGAACTTTTTCAGTGTCAGAGTAGTTAGTAAATGGAATGCACTAGGAAGTGATGTGGTGGAGGCTGACTCCATACACAGTTTCAAATGTAGATATGATGGAGCCCAGTAGGCTCAGGAATCTGTACACCAGTTGATTGACGGTTGAGAGGCGGGACCAAAGAGCCAGAGCTCAACCCCCGCAAGCACAATTAGGTGAGTACAATTAGGTGAGTACAATTAGGTGAGTACACACACACACACACAGATGTGTGTGGATGTGACACCTAATCTAACTCCTGAGGCACATATAAATAGGATAACGACAGCAGCGTACTCTACACTGGCGAAAATTAGAACTTCATTCAGAAACCTAAAGGAGGAGGCTTTTAGGGCGCTTTACACTGCCTACGTGAGACCCGTCTTAGAGTATGCCGCGCCATCATGGAGCCCCCACCTGAAGAAACACATAAAGAAACTGAAGAAGGTTCAGAGGTTTGCGACGAGGCTTGTCCCAGAGTTACGAGGGATGGGATATGAAGAGCGTCTGAAGAAACTGAACCTTACGACACTAGAGAAAAGAAGGGAGAGAGGAGATATGATAGGGACATATAAAATACTCAGGGGAATTGACAAAGTGGAAATAGATGAAATGTTCACACGTAATAATAACAGAACGAGGGGACATGGGTGGAAACTGGAAACTCAGATGAGTCACAGAGATGTTAGGAAGTTTTCTTTTAGCGTGAGAGTAGTGGAAAAATGGAATGCACTTGGGGAACAGGTTGTGGAAGCAAATACTATTCATACTTTTAAAACTAAGTATGATAGGGAAATGGGACAGGAGTCATTGCTGTAAACAACCGATAGCTGGAAAGGCGGGATCCAAGAGTCAATGCTCGATCCTGCAAGCACAAATAGGTGAGTACAAATAGGTGAGTACACACACACACACACACACACACACACACACACACACACACACACACACACACACACACACACACACACACACACACACGAATTACGATGGCAGGAGGTTGTGGATAAGAAGATAACGTTGCCAGTATGGTACTGGGTATAAGGTACCCAGTACCTTATATCCAGTATAAGGTTAATGGTATAAGGTACTGGCACCCGTGACTGGTACTGTGAAGGTACTGGGACTAGTGACTGGCACTGTGAAGGTACTGGCAGTCGCTGAAATGCCTCGTACGCTCCTGGATATTCCTGTGACTGGCACTATGTATACCACGTGATATAGATATAGATATAGATATAGATATAGATATACCACGTGATGTGTATATCATCTGATGTTATGTTACGGTGAAATTTACCTTAAGCTGAATCTTAAAACTCTACCTCAGGAGACTTGACGGACCAAGAGCTGAGACCTAACTTTAATCTACCTAATCTAACCTCCCAAACTCTCTCTCTCTCTCTCTCTCTCTCTCTCTCTCTCTCTCTCTCTCTCTCTCTCTCTCTCTCTCTCTCTCTCTCTCTCTCTCTCTCTCTCTCTCTCTCTCATTCTCTCTCTCTCTCTCCCTCCCTTTCACTGTTATTTCCCTATAATCTGTTCACTCCATGTTTTCCCTTCCTATATCTTTAATGATTTACACTATTTCCCCTAATCTCTCCCCTCTTTACCTCTACATTCTCTCCATCCTCACCTTATTTATTCTCTTCTCTCATTCCTTCACCCTTCCCTCTCTCTCTCTCCCTCACTTCCCTCACCTTCTCTCCCCTCGTCTCACAACGCCGCCAACAACTGGTCTTGACCCTTAACGACCCTGACACCTTAACTGCCGGTCACACTTCCCTTCAGACCACCAGGGTGATGCAGGCTGAGGGGACGAGGGAGGAGGGGGGGGGGAAGAGAGGGGAAACACTGAGAGGGGAGAGAGAAGGGGGGAGATAAACACAAGAGGAAACATATAGGAGAAAGGGTTAAATATCACAATATCTTTGAAAGCTTTACTTTAAATCATGTTTGTGTGGAGCATTAAGCTGCTATATGCACTCTAAACCCCATCATGTGGGTGGTGGTGGACCCCATACCCATCCTGTGGGTGGTAGTGGACCCCATA